TTTGATGGGCTAGCAAAATTTTAGGTGATTCAGGTCCGGTCACCTGAATGAATGCAGATGGCGTAGGCTATAGCATACGAAAATTTGGGAATCGGGCAAAAGTCCAGTTTTATGACACTAAAATGCCAAAAAATGAGGAACGGACATGGAAAAGCGATTACTATTATTCCTTAGATCGGTTTTGATGGTCAGACAAAATTTTAGGCGATTCTGGTCCGGTCGCTCGAATGTATACAGATGGCGTGGGCTAGCACACGAAAATTTGAATCCGGTGGAATTCTAGTTTTACGGCTCTAAAAGGCCAAAAAATGAGGGAAGGTTATGGAGAAGCGATGAATATCGTTTCTTAGGTCATTTCTGATGGGCCGATAAAATTTTAGGCGATTCGGGTATGATCGCCAGGATGCATGTAGATGGCATGGGAATTGGGCGGAATTCCAGTTTTATGGCCCTAAAATGCCCAAAAACGAGGAACGGTCATGGAAAAGCAATAACTATTTTTCCTTAGGTCGTTCTTGATGGTCCAAAAAATTTAGGCGGTTCAGATCTGATCGCCCGGATGCATGCAGATGACGTGGGCTATAACACACAAAAATCTAGGAATCGGGTGAAATTTCAGTTTTATGGCTCTAAAATACCAAAAAAAAAGGAGGAATAGTCATGGGAATGCGATGACTATTATTCCTTTGGTCATTTTTTATGGGCCGAACAATTTTTAGGCGATTCGGGTCCGATTTCCTGGATGCATAGCATACAAAAATCTGGGAATCGAGCGAAATTCTTGTTTTATGGCCTTAAATGCCAAAAACGAGGAATGGTCATGGCGAAGCGATGACTATTGTTCATTAGATTATTTTTTGTAGTCCCACAAAATTTATGTCGATTCGGAGCCAGTTGCTCGAATTCATCCAGATGGCGTGGACTATAGCACACGAAAATCTAGAAATGGTGTTGAGTTCCTATTTTATGGCCCTAAAATGCCAAAAAACGAGGAACAGTCATGGTGAAGCTATGACTATTTTCATTAGGTCATTTTTATGGTCTTGCAAAATTTTAGACGATTTGGAGCTTGTTGCCCGAATTCATGCAGATGGCGTGGACTATAGCACACGAAAATTTGGGAATCATGTTGAATTCCTGTTTTATGGCCCTAAAATGACAAAAAATGAGGAATAATCATTGCGAAGCGATGACTATTTCTCATTAGGACATTTTTATGGTTCTGCAAAATATTAGGCTATTTGGAGCTGGTCCCATGAATTCAAGCAGATGACGTGGACTATAGCACACGAAAATCTGGGAATCGTGCTGAATTCCTATTTTACAGCCCTAAAATGCCAAAAAAAGAGGAACGGTCATGGCGAAATAATGACTATTGTTCATTAAATCGTTTTTTATGGTCCCGCAAAATTTTAGGCGATTCGGAGCCGGTAAACCGAATTCATGTAGAAGGCGTGGATTATAACACACGAAAATCTTGGATTCGTGTAGAATTCCTTTTTTATGGCCCTAAAAATTCCAGAAAATGAGGAACAGTCATGGAGAAGCAATCACTATTATTCATTAGATCGTTTTTTATGGTCCCGTAAAATTTTAGGCGATTAGGAGCCGGTCACCGAATTCATGCAGATGACGTGGATTATAGCACACGAAAATCTAGGAATCGTAATGAATTCCTGTTTTATGGCCCTAAAATACCAAAAAACGAGGGATGGTCATGGCGAAACGATGACTATTATTCAGTAGGTCATTTTCCATGGTCACACAAAATTTTAGGCAATTCGGATCCGGTTGCCTGAGTTCATGCGGATGGCATGGACTATGCACACGAAAATCTAGGAATCATGCTGAATTCCTGATTTATGGCCCTAAAATGCCAAAAAACGAGGAATGGTCATGGAAAAGCTATGACTATTATTTATCAGGTCATTTTTTATGGTCATGCAAAATTTTAGGCGATTCGAATCCGATCTCCCGAATTCATGCAGATGGCATGGACTATAGCACAAGAAAATATGAAAATCGTGCTAAATTCCTATTTTATGGCCCTAAAATGCCAAAAAAAATGAGGAACGGACATGGCGAAACTATGAGTATTATTTATTAGGTCATTTTTTACGATCCGTAAAATTTTTGGTGATTCGAAAACGATCGCTCGAATTCATAGAGATAGAGATGGCGTGAATTATAACATTTGCTTCAGTTGAACTTCGGGGTATATAGTGTATATTCTACTTTCTTTATGCCAGCAAAAGTGGCGTAAATTGACCTTTTCAATTCATGATGCCTTACTTTTATTGAAATAATATTGGCCCTTTGTGATGGCTCTTAACCCTTTAAAAAAGGCAATCATTTTGCCTATACATAAATAGGTTAGGGGCCTTGAATTCTTCCATAATTTGAATTGTCCAAAATCTAAAGCAAGCAAAGCAGTCTTCTATTCTCTCATATATCTTTGTGTATATTTGAGCTTGTGTCATATAGTAGAGAATTTGGTGTACATATATTTCATAGAGTTAGAGTTGAGAAAACATTTGAGTGAACCTCTTTTCTGTAGTGATTATTGTGAGATTATTCCTTGAGATACTTTGGGCAAATTTGAGTACTTGCAATTTTTCTTTACACTCTTTTTGTACACCTTGACTATAGTGAATTTGCTACTATTTTCTATGGACTTGATCAAACCACGTTAAATGGTTTATCTTTTTATTGTCTTTATTATTTATATTACACAACAGCTTTATTAAATTATACATTACCCCAAACTTACGATCCTGACAAATTCGTATATAGGCCAAGTCTAAACAGAATTGGTTTCAGCAGTCAACATGACTTCAAGAAAGAATTATATTGAGAAATTTGATCGAAATGCAAACTATGGAATGTGGAAGATCAAGATGGAAGCTATCCTAATCCAAGATGGAGTAGACATAGCGCTGCAAGGAAAGGAGAGAAAGCCAGAGAATATATCAGACAAGGAGTTTGATAGACTTGATAGAAAGGCAAAGTCAAGTATTATACTAAATCTCTCGAATGAAGTTTTGCGCGAAGTAGCTTCAGAAACCACAGCCAAAGGCACGTGGAAAAAATTGAAGGCCTTGTATAGTAAAAGGACAGTGAAAGACAGATTTTATTTGAAGAAAAAGTTATACATGCTACGAATGAGTGAAGGTACTTCTATACGCTCACATCTTGACACATTTGATTCGATTCTTATGGATTTGAATAATATGAAAGTTAGGTTTGAAGACGAAGATCAAGCCCTATTATTGCTTAATTCCCTACCCCAACCATTCAGTCATATTAGAGATGCTATACTTTATGGAAAGGATACTATCTCTTATATAGACGTTAAATCTTTCTTGAAGTCAAAAGAACAAGTAATCCAACCAACCCCCTCATGGCCACCTCGATCAAAAGATGGAAAAATTATAAAAGTGTCGAAGTTTGCAAATGCAAGGTAAAGAGCAACCATGCCCAAAATCAAGCTTGATTTTGCATGTCCATCTATTGGAGTTGCAAATAGTCAAGTCTCGGTGCGCTTGTGATCGATTCTTTTTTTTTTTTTACCTTTTGTGAAAATGCTTACTCTCGAGCCGAGGGTCTTTCGGAAACAGTCTCTCTACCTCCCAGGGTATGGATAAAGTCTGTATACACACTTACCCTCCTCAGACTCTACTTGTGAGATTTTACTGAATTTGTTGTTGTTATTGTACTTTTTTCCTAAAAATGGAGAAGGAAGAAAACGAAAGAGAAGAAGATGTATTTCCATTCTTTAGAGTAACATTGAGTTGTATTGAATAATGACTTTTGAATAAATAATTGGTCGTGTTATATCGCGTTTTGTAGATAATTTAATACAAAAAAAAGGGCACCAAATTGCCTCATATCAATACCTTTCTCGTTCTTTTGGCAAAAATCAAATGTATTATATGTTCTTATTAGAAGAATAATTATCTGATATTGGCCCATCAACCCACAAAATTGAATTTTTGTAATCTCTGTTATTAGAAAGTTTCAGACGTTTGATGTTAAGTTTACCTATTGGAATATGGGTTGACTTTGTTACCGATTGTCCCGGTGTATAAAATATTCTGTATTCACGCAGGGTCCGAAAAAGAACTGCATCCCAAAAGATATAATGTAAACAGTCTACCTTAATGTAAGTATTATTGACTGCTTCCACGACTTATTTTATTCTATAGAATTTGATGCCATTATTTAATAACTAATCATAACTTGTTTTGCAATGTAATCAGAAAGTAGCTGGAAAGAAAGAACCATTGAATTTTCCCTGGAAGGTGCCAGATATCCTATTTAATATTTTCATTGGCTGACGCCAAACTGAGTTGGAAACTCACAATAAGAAAATAAAAAAAAAAGGAATAAATTCTACATAATAATAAAATGCATTTATTGGGTTCGTCGGGTTTTTCGGGTTTTCGGGTTTTTTGTTACTTACATATTATTTCAATCTTACTTTGTTAAATATTTAACAAGTATATATCTATTTAGTTAAAATATAAAAATTGACAAACATATTAGCGATTAAAATATTCCTAGGGGAGAATTCTATTAATAGCACATAATAATTAATTTTTTAGTCGTTTGATAATAATTTTCGTTGATATACACTTTCAGGTTAACCGAATTTAGTAATTAACCGAATGTCGGGTTGGTTCGAGTTTTTTTACTCAATACCAAACCAAATCAAACCAAACCATGTCGGGTTTTTTAATCGGTTTGGTTTGACTTTTCGGTTTGGTGCGATTTTTCGGTTCGATTTGTACACCCCTACTTAAAATGATTAGTGCTAAGGTCAATAACTTACAATGGCTACATATTTGTTGAACCTTAATTTATTCTCTTACAAACCTATTAAACAAATATCTTGAATGATGATAAATACTACATAATAATAAAATGCATTTATTGGGTTAAACAAATTAAAGAACTGATGTCTAAACTAGGCAAATAACACAAAAACACAAACACTGTAATGAACAAAGAATGAAAAGAATAGATTAATTAGTTTTTGTGTTCTACATTTAAATATATAAATAAATAAAAATCTTAAATCTTCTTCTTGGAAAGACTAATACAAATCCAGAAGAAATAAAATCTGAAGCAATAACAGGTAAGTAGGCGTCATATAAGGTGAGATTAGTAATTCAACTATCAAGACGCCGCGTTTTGGGTTAAAATCTCAAGGGAACAGAATCATGAGATCTCAAAAGTGGGGCCAGAACGAACAATAACTTGACAGTTGAGTCTGGACCGTTACGGGATAAACGTTTTCAAGAAATATGTGATCCAGCTAAAATCGCTTTAGTTAACTCAATCAAATGAAACAAGAGCACAATAGTTGAAGTTGGTACACTTAATCCAATAAGTGCAACCATGCCCAAAACCAAACTTGGTCTTGTATCCATCAATTGGGATTGCAACAATCCCATTGCTTGGCAAATATTCGAGTCATAATTCGTGTAGAGACTTTTTTCCCAGTTCATCCATTCAGCTGGAGGCTCGTAATTCCTCTCAATCATCTTCATCTCGTGAATTCTTTTACGTAGAATAATTAAGTTCTCGTCTACAATACGACCGTTGTAGTAGTTTCGATCCCGGGCTTCTCTACCCATTGCCAACGTAGTCATGCTCGAAGCTCGTGATGATGATGATGATAATGATGATCTTCTTTTTGGTGAAAATGGTGAAGGAAGAAGTGGAGAAGAGAACAGAAAAGAAGTTGATGTAGTTGCCATTTTTTAGAGTGATTTTGAGTTGTATAAGAAGTATTGAAATAATGTGGTTTGAGTTATGAACCATTGGGTATTATTTATAGATGCTAGGGACATATAATTAATAGTGTTAATTAAAGTCTTAATTATGCAAAACCGTGTCATAACTGTCAGCATCAAAATTCAGTTGACTCTAACCCTTTGGATATGGCTTGACTTTTGTGGCCTGTCTAAGGGCAAAGACGGTTCTTTAATTAATTTATGTTCTTTGTATCTTGCCATTGTTGCTTTCTTTTATTCATTTAGGGTTGGACGTTATAATATAAAATATCCATTAAGTAATAAATTAAAGAGCTATTATTAATTTAATTGGAAAATGAAATGGGAAAGTAGTTGGAAATACAGATCATCAGGTTGTTTTCCAGGAGCTAGGGCTGGAATTTTCCAAACAAGGCCCCAGAAATTCTATATATTAGTATTTTTTTCATTGGCTGACGCCAAACTGAGTTGGAAGCACAAAAAAATTTAAAAATAAAAGAATTAAAAAAATTCTGTTTTTGGAGGACACGGTAAAGAACTTTTAAATAAATTAATATCATAAAATCAGACATAATAAAGTCAATAATGATAATCATCTAAAGTTCGACGATTAAAGTTGTAGTCTAATTGTTGCAACTTCATTATACATTACTTAGTTATGAGATTAGAATTACAGTTATTAGCAACAAAAAAAAAAAGTTTCGAATTACAGTCTAACGGTTACAACGTTCGCCATACATGTTGAGGTACGAGATTTCAATTTGACTTAGAACTCTCTTCTACTCTATTTTAATTTATATGATTTATTTAGCTTATGGAGATTCAAATTGTACGAATTTTAACGAACGTTATAAATATTTTTTTTTATCATATTAACTTGAAAAGAATTACAACTCAAAATATTTTTCATATAATTTAGTATCATATCGTATAGCTAGGCTTTACGTATCCCCGTCATTTAAAAGACCACAGAGTTGCAATATAAAGGAAATGTCAACCAAAAAGAAATAGCATATATTTGGATGGACCTTGTTTTTTATTTCTGTTTTTGTTTTGTTTTAATAAATAAAAAATTTTGTTGACCATAGATCCTACAATGCTTATATCAAGTTAAGACGTGCTTAAGCACGTTGACTTACTTTTGTCAATAGATTATTTAATAGAATTCATTTTAAAGTCAAATGAATTCGAATGTGATTCTAGTCAACGTTAAATGATCTTTCAGTTTTTAGAGCATACAAGTTATCATTCTTGTTCCTTACTATTAGTTTTGGTGTTATTATAACAAAGTGCCTTTTTTTAGTATTATTATTATCGTTATTTTTGTTAAAACTCAATGACTTGGTGATAGGAGAAAACCAGATGAAAATTTGAATTTTCCTTCTAGTAATTTTGGTGAAGTTAAATAGCCATAACTACTATGGTAAATCCGTCAAAATTTTACTACGCGAAAGGTAGTTAACTAAAGATTTCGCTCATTTTATTGTCGCTAGGCTACACTCTTAGGTGCAAGATTCCTAAATAACCTTTTATAAATCAACAAAAGAAGATATGGCAAAACATTATACCCATCACCAATGGATTACCAACTGAAATATAAAAGGACAGTCTGGGCACAAGGCATCCCGCATTCCCGCAGGGTCCGAAAAAGGACCGCACCCAAGGGTTGTGATATACACAACCTACTCTAATGCAAACATTAGTGGCTGCTATTACAGCTCAAACCCGTGATCTATAGGTCACATGGAGACAACTTCATCGTTGCTCTACCAACTGAAATATCACCACAGATATTCACCATGTCTAATCATTAGAAAATCAAACTTTCAGCCCTACAATTCAAGGATGAAAAAGCTATTGATACGAGCAACCATTACCGACCCATCATAGGTTTGGTTTCCAACCAGCAGTAAACTTTTTTTTTTAAATGAGAAATAAAATAGGCTAAGAAGTTCGTCCTTTGCAGCTTTACATCTGAATTCTGCTCATATTACCATACTTCAAGACTATTCTGGACCATCTTCATGGAATTTCTAATGCTTTTGACCCCTAAAGATACAGGAAGGAGATGAATTTTAACTGTATGCTAGAATTATCTCACTAGCTCACATAAGAAAGACCTCCTTTTACTGCACAGGCATCTCCTTTTGATTAGCACCTGTAGGAGATAAATCAATGAAAAAGTGGCACATCTTTGTATCAACATCATCCATTTTCCCAAGCAATTTAGAAGCCGTCAAGGTTAAACAGATCAAGTTCAGCAGGAGAAATTTCCTGCTGTTGGTTGGGTTTACCTTCATCCGCGGGAGGAGATTCAACTTGCTGAGCTGGTTCAGGCAAATCATCATCCTTTACAGCCTGAAACTTTGGCACTTCCTTTTCTGGCTCTTCCTCGACCTCTTTGGCCTCTTCCTCGACTTCTTTGAGACGTGCTGGTGGTTCAAGCCGCTGATACTTGGGTTTATTTTTCTCCAAGAGAAGGTACGTTGTGTAATACCAAAACATTAGTATTCTACTTTGAGCAATAATTGTATCACTTATTCGACTGCCTCCAAATGATAGCCGCTCAAGTGCCTGCATATAAGTGAAACTCAAGATGTTGGTATATAACAATGAAAACAATTTCACAATCACGTTCTATTTTAGTCACTCAACATCACTATTATACAAAGATCAAATACTTTTCTTCCACATCAAGGGTCTCATTCTTGGGGGTTTTCCATCAGTAAGCATAATATGAGGAGAGGGGAGGATATGGGTTCAATATTGAAGTTCGACACTGAATGATATCTTTCTTGCGACAGAACCAACTCCTGGAGATCCAAAAGGCAGCAATAGTCCACTTTTTTCGACAACAAAAAGTTTTGCTGCTATTTTAGTGTCTACTACAGATTTCTGTTGTGTATTGACTTCAATTTTCCACGTTACGGGTTATCTCTGTTTATCATCACCTTACTATGTTCACCCACTACTTGGTTTTGCCTTGGCCTAAAATGACACCTCTAAAATAGAACGAAGCTAGTTTACGTTTTAGAAGTTCAGTAGGTGTCAAACAGACGCATGACCTCACTGAAGAAGAACAAAAGAAGCATAACAACTCAACAAATACGTCACCAAATAAAGATACAAAATGGAACAACAAAACCATGAAAAGGTAAATAAAAATGAAAAAAGAAAACAGATGAGAAAGCAATAGTTACAGTACTGCTAAATGATATCACAAAGGTATACTGTCAGTCATGTCAACCTAGTGTTTGTTATCAGTCACAGATTGGTCTTTTTCCCCAGGTTGCATCACATGATCACATGGTCATGCTAATATGAGGACTTCAAAAGGTTCACTAGCCATCTGGAGCTGGTGTTAGTTCTCTCTGAACCTATGTTTCAGGACTTCAATCGCATACAGTGTGAAAAGACCCCAACATGATGTTCTGGGTGGATTAGAGAAAATTTTGCCTTCTAAAAGGAAGTTTTAGTTCAATGATCTAAAAATTTAATGGACATATATGAAGATTTCGATGGAAAGATATTAACGCCAAAAAACAAAAGGGCAGCCTGGTGCATGAAGCCTCCCGCATTCACGCAGGGTCTGGGAAAGGGCCGCATCCCAAGAGGTGTGAAAGATATTTAACGCAGTTCAGGAGAATTCTATTAAGTAAAACAAAGCGTTCTATGTCTTCGCTCACCTGTTCACCAGATTGTATGTCAAATGAATTTTGATGCTCAAATTGAAGGCCACTAAATTCATTGATGCAAAGCCCCTGAAACGCCCTGAAAGTAACAAGAAATTCGCCAGAGTTAAGGTCCTTGGATAGGAAAGAATAGTAACACCAAGGAATCGCCAAGTACTTTTGCATATGAAGGAACATTCGTACCATCTTATAAGAGAAACCCGAGGAATCCACCGAAAAATAATTGGTGTGTTTTCTGAATTGACGTAGTACCCCCCAAAGACAATAAAAACTGTCATAAGAGAGGGACCCAATGCTAATGCGGCTTCAGTTGTTGGAACCATAGCTCCTACAGTCAAACCCATAGCAGATGCAGAAAAAGACTCCACAGTTACAATTCCGCAGAACTTCCCAAATCTATAAACCAAAAGTATAAAGATGTCAGCACTCATTATAGTGTGTGTTTCTATCCTCTTCTGCAATCAATTGCTTGCATTTAATTTAATTGAAATACCAATAGCTACTGGTAGCATCTCACTGGATGGGAAAAAAGGGTCATTGATGCCAGTAAAATTCGGCAAGTGAGAATGGATGAATGCCCTAGAGTAAAAAGATTGACTATAAAATCCCGTTTTGAGTATAAAGGCAAAGTAAAACTTCAGGGTAAATATATTCTTTAAAGCTAATAAATATTTGCTCATCACAGTGACTAGTGAAGAAGCTTGTATGGCATCTTACTGACGGTCTAAAGTAATAAATAGGATGGCTCGGAAAGTTGACAAAAGAAGAAAACCTCCAAATGTCTGTCCCCATTTCAATTACTTTGTTCAAGAAAAATTTGGACAACTAACAAAAAGTTAACCACGTCTTTTTTTGTAAGGGACAGAGAACAACAAGTGAGGCTTGCTCAATTGGTAAAAGCATCTCCACCCACGACCGTTAGGTCCTGGGTTCAAGTCACGCTGGAGGGGAAGTGTGACAACACTATAGATCCTCCTAAATTGGGAGGAGTTTAAAAAAAAAAAGACAGATGAACTGATTATAACTGAGATTATTATATCCTTTGTTGCTATTCAACCTACAAAAATTACGGGAATGTGGATGCTTGTAATAAAGATATTAAAAGTTTCAGTTGTTTCTAAGCTTACGTTTATGTATTTATTGAGGTATTGTAGCTTAATGGCCTTCTCTATCTTCTCCTAAATATTAGTCACAGGAAAATGCATTGATATGCAGTTTCTCCATACTTTACTCAAAACAGCCTCAAGGATCTGCTGGTACCTTGGACCTTTTGATTGTTAGGCTCTTTTTTGTTAAATATTTAAAACAAGGAGAGACCTCAGTCTTTGAACAAAAAAACATGCTCAAATTTGCGGAGGA